AGACTAGGGAAGACATTTTTGAGCCACCTTTGGCAAAGTAGAAAGGAACGATTGCTGTGGGAGCAATGCTCCGTCCTCTCGAGGACGCGTGGTCAATGGGCTAACCGCTAAGGCATGCAAAACATAAGAGTACGCCCCCCCCCACCGAGAACCCTCACTCCGCGCAAGGGGGATGATCGCACCACGTTGTGTTAAAATGGTCAAGCACCCTCGAGGCAGTTACACAGTGCTTACAACTGTCTCTGGAAGTGAAAGCACCAGAAAATAAATTAATTCATACGCAGCTGTCATCCGTACGCAAGGAAGTAAGCACAAGATGCCGAACACCCTTAGCAGGATGCAGCGCACCCTTCATGCGACTCGCCGAATATCTCACGGCGCTTCGCGCTTGGTGATGTGAGAGCCTGGTCCGGTGAGAACCCGGCGTGCTCCGTCCCGGCTTTGTAGGGATGCGAGGTCAATGGTGTAACGACTACGGCATGCACGACTATGAGTACCCCCCCCCCCTTGTGCCTGTACCCCGCAAAACAGGGCCAGATCTTCCGCTAGAGGAAGTGCTACCGCCGCCTCCGCCGAGAAACGGGGTGATGGCCACAACCGCACCCCAAGTACCTTCAACGTCGACGTCATCGGCTACGGCCGAAACCACATGCCCGGGCAGCGCTGCGTCTCCTAGCAAGCGCAGCATGGAGGATACGGGTTCTGAAACCGTGGACCCCAACAAGACCTCGCCTCCCTCGGGAACAGCGGCACCGGATGCGGGGGTGTCCCCACCCGGTAGCAGCAGCAGCGCCTCCGATCGACGGGTTCGTCCACGGATCATGACCTCTGCGAGCGTCGGCGGAGCTTCTGGCGGCCGTGACGATGCTGATGGTTTCGGGCATGACCAGGGCGATGATACGTCCATGGGCGGCGGGGCCGCCGCTAGTTGCGCTTCGAGCAAAGTCGACACCGCGGCGGCTGCAGCAGCAGCCGAGAAGGAGGTTGCCACGATGGCGGCGATTGCTAAGGCTATGCCTAGCGGTGGGGGGGGACGACACCGGCACGTCGAGGTCGAATCGGAGATGTCGGAGATGTCTTCGTCGGCGCAGGCACCACCGAGCGTTCAACAAAGGGGCCGGGGTGGCGGTGTTGCTGTGGACGCGTTGCTGCAAGACGTTCGGAGCCTGGCGAGGAGGCTAGAGGCGGCCAGGTCAGCAATGAGTCCGGAGCAGCTCGAAGAAGTCGGCGCGCTCTTGCAGAAAGCGGTGGAGAGCTGAAGGGAAGGGGGGGAGGACGACCACTCAGTCATTTTTTTTGTTCGTTCAAAACTACACGCGTTGTTGTGTATGCCGAATGATTTTTTTTTTTTTGATGTCCTCCGGGAGTTCTCAGCGTTTCACCAAGTTGTGTCCTCTCTTGTTGAGGTATTGGTGGTTTTTGACATTTCTACTGCTTAGGTGTGTGGGTGCATCTTGGCTCTTCCAGTGATGTGACTTCTGACCTACTGTAGCGATACAACGCCGATTTGGAGTTTCGAAGCTAGTTCTTCGAGTCCAACTGACGCAGTTTGTACCATCATGACACCTCGTCTGTGCTGTCCGACTGCACAATTTTCGTCCTTCGAGCGTTCGCGTTGTACATATGGGTATAGGATGATTGAGTTTTTGAGCGTAGAAAACAAGCATCATGCGAAGGTGTGAATGAAGACCAATACGGTTGGAGAAAGTGATGGGGGGGGGGGGG